ACAGAGAAAATCTTAGGCTGTAATCATGAAAATAAAAGATTTAATATATTATGACTTCAGGAACGCAGAATTTTATGCGAATGGTCAGAATGGCTGTGCAGAAAGCCCTAAAGATCAAAGAAAGTGAAAGCCATGAAACATGAATATAAAGAGGTTTCCACTAGACAAAGATGGGACAAAATGATCATCAAAATGAAAAATAAATATAAGCTACAGAAACACACTGACTATGAGCATTTCTGCTATAACACAGAAGCAAAATAAAAAGAATTGTTCTGCAGTATCACACTGGAAATAACTAGCCTCACGAGAACAGACGTAAGAGCTAACAATTCAAATCCTATTCAACTTTCTAACTATAACATACTAAAAACAACAACAACAGTGATAATCCTAACAAAATTCCAAATCAAAATTTAAATACTGTTGTTAATAACAACAAAGTAAAAGCCATTTGATAGAAGAGGATGGATGGAAGGCTTGAGGCTGCTGAGGTTAAGGCTTGCCAAAAATGCAATGACAAAATGCACAAACCAGAGTAAGTACAAAAAGAGCATCTTCAAGATAAAGTTCAACTGAACCAAAGGAATGCACGATGAAAGAGTACTACAGTGAGAGAGTGCCATCTATTGGTGTGTTACAGTATGTGCCAATATTGGTATATTTTGCATTCCCTTCGTCTTTCTTGTTTAGAAATATTAACCTCCAGGAAAAATCAATTATGACTCAAGGTGATTTCTTTGCTATATAGACATCACCTCCTTGTTTCTGAATCCTGTGAGTTAATTCACATTACAGAAGTGACTGACTGTAGCAAGTTCGTAATATTCTCAAAAATAAGAGAGAAAGCAAAACAAAGAACAAAATCTTAATTTCATAGGTAACTAAATAGGGTATCAACATCTCCTTCTGAAAGTCAACAATATCCTATAAAAATCAATACATCCTGTAGCGACTAATAATGTACACTTTCTGAGGCTGCGTATTCCTGAGGTTTGCAGTGGGTGTTTTACAAAGAGCTATTTGTACAAGAGATCATCTGTCTGAAGATCTAAACTGTGGGTAGGACAAAGTTTCCTCCCATGTAGGATATTCTTCAATTAACAATGTGACCAATGATGTTAATCTGTCCACCTGATTAGCTTATGAAGTCCTTGTACAGAGAAACTGTCTTATTCCCTGTATTCTATTACTCTCAAGTACAGAAGTATACACTTAAAGAAGTGCTCATTGAATAAACTAAATTAAAAAATGAAATGTTTTCCACCAATCAGCATGAATAATATGACAGTAAGTTTTTTATAAGGCCAAAAACAATATATTTCATAATCTTATGAGAAACTTTCCATATAGTGATTCAAAATATAAGTGATACATTAAGGCTGTATTTATTTAATGAAGTTTAATATATAAGTAAAATGGAGTTAAAAGAAATTTAAATAAATGTGTACCACAGATTTCAGTAAAGCTATAAAAATAAAAAGCTGTATTTTCAATGAAATGATAAGATTATTTCTAATAATTATTTGGAGATTTAAAATTAATAGTTTGAAACTCCACCACCATAAATTTAATAACTCAAACATACATTTGTCAAAGCCTAATCATCCAAAATAATTCAGATTCATATGACATCAGAGATCAATGAAGAAGAGATTTGCAGTTAAAATTTATACCAGTAAAGTCATTAGTGGCCATGCATGTCTTCCTCACAATATACAAATCTATACTATGATTATAAATATTAGTCCAAATGCCATTTAGAAACAAGATCTGAAAAGCAATTTTTCTGAAACGTGAGGATAAGTTTCAATCTTAGTCCAAACTCACTGTTTGATGTATACCATCTGCGCATGATAAAGTAAAATATTTAAAATTTATCATTTATCCAGGTGTATTTATTAAGGAGATTTTCAAGTTTCTAGAGACTAAAACAGAGGGATAATCTTTGAATGTTTTCTTTGTTCTAACTATATTATACATGACAGCATCTAATACTCATAGCAATCCACAAGGTAAATATTATGTCCAGTTTACAGATAAGGAGACAGAGGATACATAACAGCAATTAAGACTGAGCTCATAACAAGCAAATATAAAGCCAGTGTCTGACCACACTCCATATTCACACGAAAGCTTTAGAATGCTCCTCTACTACATCACTCTAACTTATAGTCTATTGCCAAAACTGTAGAATGTTCACATTTTTTTGAGACAAAGCATATTTTAAGTTATTCAAAATACATCTAAGCATTGATAAATATATAAAAAGAATAAGGTAACTGGCAAAGGATTTAAATCAACCAGGAAAAGATAATTAACATAATGTGAAAGCAAGTATTACATGCTTCATAATCCATTTAAACCCCTCTCCTGACCTTTTCCTTTATACAACATGAAGTTTAATCTCTCAGGGGCACTATTATCTTCTCAGGATTAACAAAGAGAATTTCAGTGCCCAGCTTTCACTGCAGGCCTTCCTAACTGTTGACAAAAATCTCAGCAAGAAAAGAAGGAAAAAACGTCCACTTTCTCTACAACCACAAAAATGCCCAGAGTATTCTGTACTGTAGTGAACTGTGAAGAAATCTCAAAGGAATGTATCTTACTCTTCTATTCAGTATTCTTGTAAATGGTTTTTGCACAAAGCAATCTGTTAAGACAGCAATTTACACCTGCCTAAAATGGTAGCCATGCTATGTGAAAGTAAATCTTTAATCCTAAACTCAGGAAAACAGCCTAATTCTGATTGGTGGCCTTCATTATTTATTTGTTGCTCTGGTAATATTTAGTTAAAATACCCTAAAAGGAGTTAAAAACAACTATAAGTATCAATGACATTCTTTTATCATAAAAGTATAATAAAACTGTAATTCAGATTCTTTTTTAAAACTAAAAAGTTTGGCTCTTTTCCTCTTTTGGTTGTTGCTGTTTACTGTTTTTTGTCTTTTAAATATAATTTATTGTCACGTTAGCTAACATACAGTGTATACAATGTGCTCTTGGCTTTGGAAGTAGATTCCCCTGATACATTGCTTACATACAACAACACCCTGTGCTCATCCAATAAGTGCCCTTCTCAATGCCCATCACCATTTACTCTTCTCTCCCACCCCTCATCTACACTCAGTTTGTTCTCTGTATTTAAGAGTCTCATGGTTTTCACTCATATATGGAACTTAAGAAACTTAACAGAAGACCATGGGAGAAGGGAAGGGGGGGGATGTTTCAAACAAAGAAGGAGGAAAATCATAAGAATCTTTTCCTTTAAATTGTCCAAAGTACAATAAATGATATAGTTTAATTCTTCAAATGAAAATATTTTGATAAAATAAAAACTGATTTCATAATTATTTTTAAGTTAAAGCCATTGAGATAGACTACCAGAATCACCTGCAAATGAAAAATTAAATTATCTTTTTACTCATTTAATGTTAGAGAAATAACTAGAAATCCATATTGTTTGGCTCTTGATATTTTTCTCCCCACTTACAAAAATGAGGAGTTATGGAAGGTATTAATCTGCCCCTCAATGAGTAATACTCCATAGGACAAACCCCTAAAATATTAGGGGAAAAAAAGAAATAATATGTGAACAGAATTCTTTTCAAGATACAAATTCCTAGAAAACACTAAAGTTTTATGTTTATTAATATAAGCTTTTTATTTAAAAATAATCTTTCACTTTTACTAGCTCTCAAAGGATCTCCTTGCAAAATATGTAACATCCTTTCATTACAAAGGGAACCACAATAGCTATACAGAGAGAAAAACACCTTAACCAAATGATTAAATTAATATTACTAATAAAAGACCAATAGACTCCATGGACCTCTGGATATGATATCCACAGCACTGACAGACACTCCATGTATGTAATATTCCAGCCACAAATTGATGAACTTGTTCTGATCATGAGAAAAACAAACTCAAATTGTGGGACATTCTATAAAATTACTAGCTTGTATTCTTCAGAAATAACAATCTCATGCAAGATAAAGACTGAGAAACTGTTCAAGGTTAATAGTGAGTAAACAACCACATGAGAAATGTGATTCTGGACTGGATCCTGTACCAGAAAAAGGAAAGCTGCAGTAAGAGCCATTCTTTGGATAACTAATGAAATTGAAATGATTTATGGATAAGATGAGAGTACTGTATTGATTTAAGTTGATAGATAAACTATGGTTATATATGAGAATATTTCTATTCCTAAGAAAAACAAAACTGAAGTATTATGGAGTAAAGAATTATAAGGTATGCAAGAGGGAAAGAACTATGAGCAAATGTGGCAAGGTACTGAAAATTGATAAATCTAAAAAATGCTCTATGGGAATTCTTTGTGCTCTCCTTACAACTACTAGGAAATTTTGAAATTATTTCAAAATAAAAACTTTCAAATCATCTTTTAAGATTAAATATTAATGTGAGAAGGTTTTCACCATAAACAATTAATTGATAAAATCAAGTTTAACAAAATGGTATGATCAGTACAAGCACTCTGAATAGTGACTATTGAAGGAGTTGGTACCAGAATATAGATACACAGTTTTCTTCATCAAGGAGAAAAAGGGTATCCTAAACTGTGCTTGGTGATATGCTGGCACAGCCTGGTAACAAACACTGTACTGTCACTGTACTTTGAGTGGTACTGGTCTTCTATATCATCTTTATTAACCAACCACCAGTCAATCAAAGCCAACTAAATAAACACTTTTAAACTTACGTTTATGCATTTGAAAGAACATACACCAAGTTATAGTAGTTGACTCTAGGTAGCACAACTGAAGGTAATTTTTTTTCTTCCTATATTCTGTAACCTATCTATAATGAGCATGGATTACTTTTAAAATAAGAAAAAGTAAACTTTTTAAAAAGTGTAAATGAAAAAGAACTTAATAGCAGACAATCAGACTTCTTGAAATTTGAATCCTATGTCAAAACATGACGTTTTCTTATGTTTATATACTGCCAATATTTTCCCAAAAGATCTCACTTACAGCTGATCTTGAAGCTCCACAATTATATATTCTAATTGTTCCTTTTCCAGTTTATGGGCCAGATCAGAATCTTCAATCCTTTGAAGTAGTATTTTATTCTGGGAGACAGATTCAGACAGCTGGTTCTCTCTAAGTCGTAAGAGTTCTTCAAGGTAACCCTGAAAATACAGTATTAATGAGATAAAGCAACTGCAAAATTTTAATCTATATCTTGAAAGTAAATATTGAGTAGCTTAAATGCTATTCTTTCCATACTGTAATGAAACAATCTCAAAGTATTATTGATGAAATAGTTAAAAAGAACAATAATCCTTTAATACAAAAATTTAACATATGCTCTCCATCATTTAAAGCCCTTCTCTGAAGTTCAGTAATATATGTTTGCTGGCAGTGAGTAGAATGGAAGTTTGTACCTTTTGACTGATGTTATCCATCTCCACCATGTTATACATTTCTGGTAAACTGTTTCTTTCAAAGGCAATGTATTTCTTTAATCTTAATAGTGCTTTTGCCTTAAGGTCTATGTTGAATGATATTAATATAGAATTATTTTGCTTAGTATTTGTGTTTAATCTTTATTCTCCTACTAAGTGTTAAAATCTTAAACATATAAATGAAGCTACATACAAAAAAATAAATGACCTATTTTTAAAGTAGGCTCCACATCGTGCATGGAGCCCAGTGTGAAACCTAATGTGGAGTCCAACGCAGGGTTTGGACTCACAACCCTCAGATCAAGATCTAAGCTGAGATCAAGAGTGGGACACTCAACCAACTGAGCCACCCAGGAGCCCCTAAATGGCTTATTTTTATATTAAAACATAAAATTAGAAGAAGTTGAACAAACAAAAGCCTCTCTTAAAACTCTGCCTGATTTTTAATTAAGAGGGCAATTCAAGAACAGAAAGGAAGTAGCAATGGGTCAACACTTACATTCAGCTAAAATCTTTTAGCAGTGACAGTCCAAAGGCAATAATGAAAATCAAATTAAATGACTTTTGGCAACTGATAAATACCTTCTGTTCCAGGGTTAGCTGATACTTTTGTTTAACTCTCTTACACTTGTTGAACCAACTATTGTCATCCATGATGAAAGGAGGCCCAACATTCTCTGGAGTGCTGCTTTCACTGTCACTGCTTCCCAAAGTCCTCAGCTCTTCCTCATCACTGCTGATACTATCAGAACTGGGAAGATTAAGATTTTTAAAATAAAGTTAATATATTCCACTCTGTTAAGAAATATGTCCATATTTTATAAGCTACTGGTGAGCAAAATGCAAAATATTTAGTACTCCATATACAATTATAATAATGATATTATAAAGACTTTAGTTCCTGAAGAAAAATGACAAGCTAGCATAGGCTGCTGACTCCCTCTCACAGAGTTAAGCCTTGAGATGCTACAGAAATTCGATTAAGATTTATAGACCTAAGGAATTAGCATAAAAACTGTAAGAACATTCTGAGAGAGAAAAGATTTCCAGAGAAGAGAACCAGAAACCCCAGATGTGTTGGAAAGAACTTTCTAATTGTTTTTTTCCCCACTGTCTCAGGTAGTTCACTGCCTGTCCAAATATCTACTGCAGGGCAGACAAACAGCACTACCAGCCTAACATGGGGTAGGGGTTGGAGGTTGGGTTTTAACAGGGTAGTGTTCAAGGTCAGCTCAGTGTTGGCAAAAATAATAAAAGGTTCAGAAAAACTAGGTATTCATAGGCATCTTCCATTGAATGAAGTAGGAAAAACAGAGGTAGAGCAGAGAAAACATCATTTACAATCTATACCTAAAATTCCTAATGACATCCTTATGGTAGAAGAGGACAGAAAAAAGTGGGGAAAATAAAAGAAGAAATTAAATGAAGAAGTGTGCTAAAATGGTTGTCTGGTTTATAAAGATGAAAGAGGAGGTGTTATATTCAAAGAGGAACAGGGAAAAGTACATTTTAAAATATAAGCAATGATATTATCATAAGAGAAACAGCATAAAAATATTCTGCATACTCTTCAAAGTATTTAAAAAAACCTGTGATCTATCAAATGGAGGGGCAAACTAAGAAAATACAGTAAATTCAGAACAAAAAATAAGATGGCAAAATAATCCCTAATACAAAATAAGTTACAAAAATTTTAATGGGTTAAATTCAATAACAAAAGCCAAATGTTTAAGTTTAATTAAGACAAATAACCAACAATAAGTTGTCTGTAAGATATATATGAATACAGAACAATTAACCTTAAAGAGATGGAAAGCATACCAAGAAACTATGACTCAAAACAAATCCAGGTCAGAAATCATAATTTCTTAGGGTAACATAGATATAATGGTGGAAAATAGCTTCAGTATCATACAAAGGTATACATTCCATTCTCCGTGATCCATGTTTGCATCTGTTGGTCTTCTAAGTCTGGGGTCCAAGTACGTTGCCAATATGAATCAGAGTCCTCCACATAAAGGAAAGCCCTACCTACCAAGAAGATGCTCTCAGTCAGTGATACAGGAAACAAACTAATAAACACACACCAGAGGAAGTTTGCCTGTTACAGCCAAGGCTTTTGCTTGACTAGAGAAAATAAAACAGTGGCTAATGATAAAGCTCCAGCTTTGAAAAACAAATAAAACTTCTAAAAAATTGTATTTGACATTAAAAATTAAATGGATGAGCTAATAAGCAATACAACTGAAGAGGGAATTAGTTACAGATATGAAGAAATTATATTTACTAAAGATCTTCAAAATGGTAAGAAAAAAACAACTGGTCTACTAGGAAAGCATACAAAGCAAAATTATCTTCCCAGAAAGAGGGCAGTATAAGCACATATTCACAAAACTAAAATCTGAGACTTGTATCAATAAATTTTCCCAAAAGAACTTCTAATGATCACACTCCAAGAAAAAGGCAATGATCTAAGAAGAAACAGTGAGCAAAGAAATTTTTAAGCTTATGGGTAAACCTGAACAAATATTGAGAGCATGAAGCACTAACAATGATGCCTGTTTTGTGGAATTTTGAAAACATCAATGAGAGACCTAAAATCCTGTATGGTAATAGCATATGTCAAGAATGAAATGAGTGGGTTAAAACAATACAAAACCCTCATTTATATGGAGAAATAGTAAAGTATTAACTTTAGACTTTAACTTTTAAATATGCATATTAAAATTAATGAAGTAGCAATAAGAGTAGTATGTAACTTGCAGACAAATAAAATGGGGGGGGGGAATCAGTACAAAAAGAAGAGAGAGAAAGAGGGAGGAAGAAGAGAGAAAGGGTAGAAAAAGAAATTCAAAAAAGTAGAATCAAAAGAGTAAATCAGGAGATATCAATCTAAATATATTAGTAAATGTCTTAATCACTTCAGTTGAAAGACAAAGCCTGTAGCCTAGATTTTAAAAATTCTAGTTAAGTATATCTTGATGAGCACTGAGTAATATATATAGCTGCTGAATCACTGTATTGTACATCTGACTAATATAATACTGCATGCTAACTACACTGGAAATTTTTTAAATTTCTAGTTAAATAATACTTTAAAAAGATACACTTAAAAATAAATATATAGAAAGGCTAGAAGCGCTTTTATTTCATAAATCCCTGCTGTACTTTTCATTTATTAACATACTGAAATTAGGATACAGCTTACAACTGATGACATTTTACTTGCTGTCAACCATTTCTTCACATAGTAATGTCTCTGAACTGGCATGCATTTATAATGGAAGGCATGTCAGTTAAGATGAAATATGGTTTTAAAAAAAAGATAAAAATATAGTAAAAAAATTTTTACCTAAAAGATTGGTGTGACTCTATTTATATCAGACAAAATGGATTTTAAGGAATAAAAAATTACTACATATTTATGGCTACTACATATTGATAAAAAAATTCATTACCTCAGGAAAATCTAAGAATTCAAACTTATATGCATCTTTTTTTTATTTCAGGTAATTAAAAACATTTTTAACTTTATTTAAATCCAAGTTAGTTAATATATAGTGTAATAATGATTTCAGCAGTAGAATTTAGGAATTTATCACTTACATATAACATCCAGTGATCATCCTAACAAGTGCCCTCCTTAAAGCCCATCACCCATTTAGCCTATCCCCCCACCCAACACCCCACCAGCAACCCTCAGTATGTTCTCTGTATTTAACAATCTCTTATGGTTTGCCTCCCTTAGATCCATCTTTAACTTTGCTTCAAAACTAGAAAGCAAAAATTTTAAGTACTACAAGAAAAAACTTATAAATCAAATACAACAGTGAAAGAATTGAATCCATCATCTCAAAGAGATGAAGCAGAGAAAAATATGGATACAAACTCCCAGAACAACCATTAACAAGCATAATCTAATGAATACAGGCCCCAATCATTGGAATAATGAACAATTCTAGGCCATTTTTCAGCAAATTTCAAGACACTATTATTATGTGGACCATACTCACTAATCTCAACTACAACATAAGCCCTAAAAATGTTCAAAAATTAAAAATTATACTTCAAATACTCTTTGATCAAAAAATTATATTGGAAATTTTACTTAGAACTAAATATAAATTTATATTTTATATATTTATAAATACATTTGCAGATGACATATTATATATAAACCTTCAAGACATCACCAATAAACTGTAAGAACTAATAAATGAATTCAGTCAATATGCAAACTACAAAACCAATAAAATAAGCTGTGTTTCTACACAATGATGACAAAATATCAGAAAGAGAAATTAAGAAGACAATCCCATTTACATTTACATTCAAAAGAATAAAATACCTTGCAAAAAAAAATGTAACAGAGGTGAAAGATCTCTACATTGAAGGTGCTGATGAAAGAAACTGAAAAAGGCACAAATAAATTTCATGACATTCTTTCTGTGCTCATGAAATGGAAAAAATAATACTGTTAAAGTGACCATACTACCAAAAGCAACTTAAGATTCAATGCAATCCCTATCAACAGCGAATAGCATTTTTCATAGAAGTAGAACAATCATAAAATCTGTATGGAATCACACACAGTGAGTAGCCAAATCAATGTGGAGCATGAATAGAGCTGGAGGCATCACACTTACTGATTTCAAAGTACATTACAAATCAACAGTAATCAAAATAGAATGATATTGTAATAAATGCAGACATATAGATCAATGGAACAGAAGAGAGTCCAGAAATAAACCCACACATATTTGGTTAGTTAATTTATGACAAAGGAGCCAAAAATATACAACTATTAAGAACAGTCTTGTCAATAAGTGGAGTTGAAAACACTGATTAGCCACATGTGAAACAATAAAACTGGACTCCTATTTACATATACCAGACATAAAAATCAACTCAACAAAATAGATTAAAGATTTGAATGTAAAATCTGGAACTGTAAAACTCTAGAAGAAAACACAGAAAGTAAGCTCCCTGACATTAATTTTGACAATGATTTTCAGATTTGAGGCCAAAAACAAAGGCAAAAGCAAAAGCAAAATAAATAAATGAGCCTACATCAAATTAAAAGGCTTCTGCACAGTAGGAAAAAGCCATCAACAAAATGAAAAGACAACCTACTGAATAGGAGATATTTGCAAATCATCAGTCTGATAAGGAGTTAATACCCAAAATATATAAAGAACTCCTAGAACTTAATAGCAAACAGACAAATAATCCAATTAAAAATGGACTAAGGACCTGAAGAGACAATTCTCCAAAGAAGATATATGAAAGGCTCACAGGTACATCAAAAGATGATCAACATCTTTAGTCATTAGGGAAATGAATATCAAAACCACAAAGAGATACTATCTCACACCTGTTAGAATGGCTATCCTCAAAAAGACAAGAGATAATAAATACTAGTGTGGATGTGGAGAAAAGGGAGTCCTTGTTCACTACTGGTGAGACTGTAAATTTGATACAGTCACTATGGAAAACAATATGGATGTTTCTCAAAAACTTAAAAATAGAAGTACCATATGATCCAGAAATTCCACTTCTGGGAATATATCCGAAGAAAACAAAACAGTAACTTGAAAAGATATCTGCACCCTACCTTCACAGGAGCACTATATACAATAGCTGAGATACGGAAACGATTTATCCATCAGTGGCTAAATGGCTAGAAAAGACATGGTATATGTGTACAACACAATATAAAATCTTGCCATTTGCAACAACATGGATGGACCT